GCAAATAGCTGAAGTGGTAAGGATTTCCTTTAAGGATGGGCTCAGGAACGGGAAACGTTAGAATGGCAAAACTGTCTGTGATTTAAGAGCTCCTTCTTAGGCTCACCCCAAGTTTAGGCTGACCATAAATCCGTGTCTCACGTTCAGTTTTCTAGGCTCAAAATTCCAGTTTATGCAGTCTTTTTGGGGGCTATTTCTCCAGGATGCTAACAATACATGTTATTAAAGAAATCAGGTTTGAACCAGAAGACCCGTGGATTATTAATTTGAACAAGTTTCTCTTCTGTACAGTAAGGTAAAAACAATCCTTCTCAGGTTGCTGTAAAAACAAGTTTGGTTCTTAGTACCCAGATTATAGCCATCAGATACAACTTTAGTTCTTAGGGAACACCTAACTTTTAATGACAGGGATACATGTGTTAGGTGTTCAAGACAGCTCCTCTGCCTTCTTGTCACTAATGTATCTAGAAACTCAGTTAGTAATTAGACAGTTGACAGAAAAGTGGGGAGCTAAGTAATGACCTTACATAATGGCATTGCATAGATATAATTTACTGAAGATACAGAGTCCAGGCCAGTCTCTTTCACAGGCCATTTATGAATGATATCTAATTTTTATACCATCTGTACAAAGTGGTTATTATTATATCAGAAGTGTACACCAGGAGTTTGAAGCTTAGAGCCTGAGAGACATTAAGTTGCCCTAAAAAACAAGTCTTTTTTGTCTGCTCTATGTAGCTCATTCCTGTTACAATGAATTAGATCATAATATATCTTCCATTAACTATATTTTGTCTTCCTAAAATAGATTTGGGATGTGACCCAGAGCTTTGATGAGATCTGGGACACACATTTGCAAATTATCATTGGAATGTCATTAAAAAAATCCATTCTCAGAAGTTGTAGGCTTTGGGAGTCTGGCCCATCAGTGCTGTCCCTCCAGACCTGCTCCCATCTCCTACAACATGCTAGTAATTGAAACCAGAGCACATGAGTGGAGAAGCCACTATAAATTACTTGGAGCAATTCCTATATAATGATTTGAAGGTGGTCTTCCTTTCTCAGGTGTTCCTTCCTTCTCTTCCTTCCATTCTTCCTCCTCCCCTCCCCTCCTTCCTTTCTTGGTTTTTTCTTTTGGATTTAATCAATAGTACTTAACTATATCCTCAGATCATGTTTTTTACATGAAGACCCAAACTGCTTATGTGACAGTATGCGTGTGTTTGTAGGGGACAAGTTTGAAGCAGGGTATCTTCTTCTGTCACCTTTGCCTTATTTCTGAGAGAAGGTGCCTCACTGAGTTGGAGTGCAACTATTTCTCTAGACTGGCTGGCCATCAAGCCCTAGGGGGCCTCCTGTATTTGCTTCTCCAGTGATAGGATTACAGGTACAGGTACATGCTTGTACTTTCCTTGGCTTTCTTTCTTTTCTTTTCTTTTTTTCTCATTTTTGAATGGGTGGTAAGGATCAAATTCGGGTTTTTACGCTTGCCCTTTGCCAGCTGAGCTATCTCCCCAGCCTCTCAATGTTCTTATCTGTGAAATGGGGATAAACTGAAGATACAGGTAAGTATACCTGAGATTATGTGTTCAATATAGTCCAACAAACTTTTATAAGGCACCTGTTAGCTATTAGGAGTTCCTTGTGCTATATTTTGCAAATAATGACACAAATTGTTTAAGCAGTGTTACATAAATAGGAGATGTCTTTTTTTTACTTAAAGCAAATGCATAGTAATAGTTCTCTTTATTTTCTTAACATGCTATGCTGTGTATGTGAAGGTCAGAGAACACTTTTAAAAGTCCTGTTCTTCCAGCTATTCTCAAACACAAATGATCTATGACTTTCAGATTTCTGAACTTTGTTTGTGTATCTTCAACCTTAAGCATATATCACTTCATAGTCCCCCTAAAGCCTGTAACTACTAAGTGATTCCCTGATCACACTCCAATGATTCTGATGCCTAAGTTTTTTATTGTTATTATTATTTTTAGATTCATTTATTACATATACACCAGATTGAATTGTAGATGGTTGTCAGCCACCATGTGGTTGCTGGGAATTGAACTCAAGACCTCTGGAAAAGCAGTAGTGCTCTTAACCTCTGAGCCATCTCTCCAGCCCCTGATGCCTAAGTTTTGACTATTTTGATGCATCAACTGCTTTGACTATTAACCATATAACCTTGGGAAAATTACTTGACCTTTGTGACACTGAGTACCTCATTTGTGAAGTGAGTGTGACAATTGCTTCCTTTTAGAGTTTGTGTGTGTGTGTGTGTGAAGTTCAAGTTTAATAATGTGAAGTAAAACATGACAAAAGAAACATCAGTTGGGTTAAAGCTGATGTTTCAAAGTAGGATAATTCCTCCTCTTCTCCCTTGAGTTAAAAGGAATAATAGCAAAAAGAGGTCAAAGGAGACACTCCTGACTAAGTGATTGCTCAACAGACCTGTATAACTTGCTCTCTGAGGCTGAACCAAGTCAGAGGAATCTGTGTAGAGTCTGGAGTTCTTGAGGCCTCTTTGGTTTTTGTCTGTGATGGAAAAAGTCTAAAAACGGAAGTGAAGCTAACCAGATCTTGGGTCTTTCCAGCTGTCTCGGTATATTGAGGAATTCTATTATAATAACAGCTGTGGGCATGATAGAATTGTGGCTCTCACAACTGGGAATTTTGGGATTTGTCCTGGAAACAACCATGACCAAGAAAGGAACAACAATCTGGGCAAATACACAATTGAGGCTGGGTACTTCTAACTGTGCTCTAGGCTCAAGTGTGAGGGAGATGCAGCAGTGAGTGAGTCTTTAAGGATTTTACAGACCAGTGAGACACAGACAAGCCTTGAACTGACTCTTAAAGGAAGGCCTGAGCTCCATCCCCGAGACACCCATGGTGGAAGGAGACACTGTACCTCTCCTCCAATTCCCAGACTACACACACACACACACACACACACACACACACACACACACACACACACACAAATAAATAAATACTCAGTTGAAAAGGCAGAGTATAGAAAGAAGTCACTCAGAGTAACTACCAGTTGGTGTGCAGATTTCCTAGAAAGAAGGCTTCCTGAAGTGGGCTGCACACAAACTGAGTGTGCTTGCTAGTTTTACATTAATATGACACAAGTAGAGTTATCTGAAAAGGGAACCTCAATTGAGAAAATACCTCTGTAACATCTCACTGTAAGGCATTTTCTTAATTAGTGATTGATAGGAGAGGACCAGTCTCTGGGCTGGCAGTCTTGGGTTTTATAAGAAAGCAGGCTGAGCAAGCCACGATGAGCAAGTAAGTATGTAGCACCCTCCATGGCATCTGCATCAGCTGCTGCCTCCAGGTTCCTGCTCTGTTTGAGTTCCTTTCTTGACTTCCTTCAATAATGAACAGCAATATGGACCTGTAAGTCAAATAAACCTTGTTCTCCCCAACTTACTTTTTGGTCATGGTGTTTCATCATAGCAATGGTAACCCTAAGACACTGAGCCTTTGAAGATGAAAATTTCAAGTAAGTGGTTGATTATTCCATTAAAGGTGGTAACATGAGGCGGTGTAAGGTATATTATATTTAATATATGCAGGGAAAAGGCCTGTATTAAGCATGTACTATAACGTTATGATGTTAAAATTATATATATATATATATATATAAATATATAAAAACTCTTGTCATTGAGGAGCTGTTGGTCTGGAGGCAGGTAGACTTAAGTAAACAAGTCCTTAGGGGGATGCTTAATTCCTCCTATAGAGAGAAGGTTAACAAAAGAGTGTGTACACTGGTTTGGAGAGGAGATACCTTGCTAAGAGGTGAATTTAGGATGGGACCAGGGCTTTGTGACACAGGTACCACTGAACTGCACTGTGGTCCTACACATGCATTTTTACTCAACAATCCAGGAGGCAAAGGGAGCAGGCAAGGGAGCAGGCTTGTCCTGCTCCCCAGATTTTGGTGTTAGGAGGAAAAGATTTAGTATGTGCCTTCATTTTCAATATGACAGCAGGTAGAGAGGCTTTGGAGTCAAACTGTAATCTGGCTTTTCAGCCAGCTGGTTGACTTCAGGTAAGATAATTCCTTTGTGTGTGTGTGTGTGTGTGTGTGTGTGTGTGGTGTTCCTTTTCTTTAAATTTCAGACAGGGTCTTGTATGTATCACCTATGTATCCTTGAGTGTTCTGGAACTCACTATGTAGGCCAGGCCGTTGGGAAGCTCACAGAGATTAAAGGTAGGCATGCCACCATGCCCAGCTGGGTTTCATCTTCCTCATTTGTATAGCTTCCTTCTGTTTCAGATCCTCTAGTCATGCAATTAAATAAATAAATAAAAGCTGGGCACTGGTGAGGCGGCTTTAATCCCGGCATTGGGAGGCAGAGGCAGGCATAGCTCTGTGAGTTCGAGGCCAGCCTGGCCTACAAAGCGAGTTCCAGGATAGCCAGGGATACAAGGAGAAAAACCTGTCTTTAAAAACAAAACCACAGACAACAACAACAAAAGAGCATTTAGGCCTGGAGTGGTGGCACAGGACTTTAATCCCAGCACTCTGGCGGCAGTGGCAGGTGGATGTCTGTGAGTTCGAGGCCAGCTTGAGGCTACACAGAGAGAGACCGTGCCTCAAAAGCAAACAAACAAAAAACAAAATTAAAGCATTTAGTGCAGAGCCAATCACACATAAATTATTATAGTTTAATATCATTATTACTACTAAGCCATTGCAATCATTACTCAGTACCATTACTATTTTAGTTCCCACAATCCACCGGGACATGGGTATGTTCTCCCGCACTTTTCAGAAACAGCAGCCCAGAAAGGTCGGGTGTTTCGTCTCAACTTCTCAGGTCTCTGTGGCGCCGCCTCCGCCGCCAGTCCGCCCGGTGCGCCATCCGCCCCGGGTTTTCCAGGGCGGCCGGGGTCAGGGCCTGGTTCCGCGCCCCAGACTCCCGCGCCGGGCTTTGCGCGCCGCCGCGGCCTGTGGGGCCGGCGGGGCGGGGCGGGGCGGCGTGAGGAGGGAAGTTGTCGAAGTTCGGGGAGACGCCCGGCCGCCGGCCTCGCCTACGGCCTGTCCCTCCGCCTCCTTCCCGCCCCGGGCCTCGTCCGCCCGTCCTTCCTTCCCCTCCCGTGCATGATGGAAACACCATGGCTGCGGCAGCCCAGCTCTCCCTGACACAGGTAACGCCGCCCGCCGGTCTGCCCGGCTCGACCCGCCGGGGTTCCCCGGCCCTCCCCCACCGCTCTCGGGCGCTGGCGCGGCGGCCGCCCTCGGGCCGCTCGGCGGGAGCGCGTGTGAGGAACTCGGGCGCCATCCCGAACCGGAGCCCCGAACCGCGGCCGCCGCGCCCCCGCCCGGGTCGCGGGGCGCTCGGCCCCGCCCCGCGCGGCTCCCACCCTGCCGCCTCCGTGGGGCTCCTCCGCTCCGCTCTCTTCCTCCCGGTCCCGTCAGCGCTCACCCTCTCGGGAAGTTTCTCTACGGGCCTGACGGCCGCCAGGTGAGCTCCCGTAAGGCTCGCTCGATACGAGGCTCGCCCTCGGCGGAGCGGGGTTCCCCCAGCTTTGCTCAGCTCTGGAGTGACCGCTGCCGAGTCCCGTGTCCCCCCCCCCGCTTCCAGAAGTCGCATCCTGCCCAGGTACTTGCCCCACTCGCGCCTTTGCCTCCTGGCCGGTTAACTTCTGCTCAGATCCCCTTGCAGACTTTCCCACCCGTGCGGGGCAGTCTCGATCGCCCTCCTAGTGGCCTAACAGCGCCAGCCTTCAGCAGGTGGGGTGGCCCTGTCCTCCGTCTGGCATCCACCGGGGAGATAACTTTGTCCCAGGACGATTTCTTCCAAAAGCTGTTTTCGCTCTCTCTGTCGCTCCCCCTCTCGCTGTTTCGCTCTCTCTCCCTCTCTCTCCACTCCCCCACCCCGTTTTCCTTCAGAGCCTAGTCCTAGAGGTTCATAGGAAAATCTGAACATCATTCAGTCAGGAGAGTCGGAGTTCTCCGTTTCTTTAAAATCAAGAACAATCATCCCACATCCAGGAGAGTGAGGTACCGCACACCCGCCATTCCATCCATCTTAACTGCCCAGAAGTTTGTCCTCCCCAAAGCTGGTGACTGTGCCCACCTCCGCGTTACAGCCTGCCCTTGTGGTAGCTCCCTGCCATCTCATCTCTTTGGCCTAAATTTACCTGACTTAAGCTAAAGTTTTACAATAAGGTAGGGCATGTGTTTGGACATTAGACTCTTAACTGTCTTACGATAAAGGGGTCTTAAGGTGGGTTTTTTTTCCCCTAGCGTTTTTGGATAGAGAAAAAAAGTATTCTCCCTAGGAACCAGCATGGAGATTTTATTTACTTACTTTGAGACTGGGTTTCATGTAGACCAGGCTGGCCTTGAACTCACTGAGTAGTCAAGAATAAATTGAACTTTGGCTCATTCTGCCTCATCTCCCAAGTGCTGGGATTATAGGCTGGACCACTATACTAAGTTTATTTATTGCTAGGGATTAAACCTAGGGGCTGATAGGCAGGTACTCTACCAACTAAGCTACATCCCCAGCAAAAGTGATTTTTTTTCTCTTCCTTTTTTTAAATTTAGAAACAAGATAGTTTCATGTGTCAATTCCAGCTCCCTCTCACTCCCCTCCTCCCCCTCTCCCCCCAGGCTCCCCAAGTCCCCCACCCAATCTCCACTCCGATCCCGAGGAAGGGTGAGGCCCTCCATGGTGGATCTCCAGAGTCTGTCATTTCATCTAGGGTAGGGCCTAGGCCCTCCCACAAGAGTCCAGACTGAGAGAGCATCCCTCATTGTGGGATGGACAGCAAAGTCCATTTGTACGCCAGGGATAAGTACTACCCAAGGCCCCATAGATTACCTAGGCCTCCTCACTGACACCCACATTCAGAGGGTCTGGGTCAGTCCCATGCTTTCCACACAGCCATCAATCTGGGGTCCAAGAGCTCCCCCTTGTTCAGATCAACTGTTTCTATGGGTTAAACCAGCCCAGTCTTAACTCCTTTGCTCATCACTCATCCCTCTCTGTCACTGGATTCTAGTTCAGTGTAGTGATTAGCTGTGGGTGTCTGCTTCTGCTTCCTTCAGTCACTGGATGAAGGTTCTGTTTCCCAGACTCTCTGGCAGTGGGATTGTAGGCTGGCATTCCCCTGAGCAAAAGTGATTATATATATATATCATATGTGTCTGTCTGTCTGTCTGTCTCTGTCTCTGTCTCTCTGTCTCTCTCTTACACACACACACCCACACACACACCTCTTCAGGTAAAAGAGTTTCAGTGTACAGGAATAGCCTCATAACTTCACTGTACATTTCCAAATTTATTTCCTGTGGGTCATTATATTTTGATCAGCAGAGAACAGGAAAATACTTTTAAGATAGAGCCTTTAACTGGTCTAGACTTAGTCATTAATCTGTTTGGAAGGATTCTTCTGAAACTCAAATTTGAGGAATGGAAACATTGACTTTTGGGTGTTGACTTTCTTAGTCTAGTTAGTGACCTGCCTTAAACATGATCTCTGTTGGCAGTCTGTTCTGACTCTGTTGGCTAATTCTGGCAGTTTCCCCTCTTAAAGTGTTTGTTTCCTTGAAGACTTCTGTCGAATTGCTTCTTGGTTTTGTGCCTACTTGATTTTCTTCTTGGATGGGACTGTGTTTTTTTTTTTTCTATTTACTATCATTCATCTCTGGAAATTTGCTTCAGGTTCTTACTTTTATAGACACTTTCACAATTTATATATGTTCTGTGGTTATATATTTAGTTGTTAACATGTATGCAGAATCAATGCTGAATCAACAAGGGGAATTTTCCTTTAGTATCTAATGTTTGAATTTATAGTGATAATTCAAATAAGTCAATTTAGAATATTTTGATATTAAAATACCAAGATGCATTGAGATTATATTGTAAAGGCGCAGAAAAAGAACTGGTTTTTTTTTTTGTTTTTTTGTTTTTTTTGAGACAGGGTTTCTCTGTAGCTTTGGAGGCTGTCCTGGAACTCACTTTGTAGACCAGGCTGGCCTCGAACTCACAGATATCCGCCTGCCTCTGCCTCCCGAGTGCTGGGATTAAAGGCGTGCGCCACCAACGCCCGGCGGGGGGGAAAAACTGTTTTTTTAAATATTTACTAATGTGTCTTCCTTTAAAACCTAGTAAATTTAGCCAGGTGGTGGTGGCACTTGGGAGGCACAGATAAGCGGATCTCTGTGAGTTCAAGGTCAGCTTGGTCTACAAATTGAGTTCCAGGACAGGCTCAAACTATAGAGAAACCCTGTCTCCCAAAACCAAACCAAACCAAAAAACAAACACCCTCCCCAAAAAAAGCCTAGTAAATTTGTAGTTCTTAGATCCAATTAATTAATGTGTGTGAATGTTTTGCTTGCATGTATATGTGGACATGTGCATGCCTGGTGCCCACATAAGTTAGAAAAGGGTGCCAAATTCCCTTGAGCTAGAGTTTTGGATGGCTATAAACCACCATGTAGTACTGGGAACCTAACCTGTGTTCTCTGCAAGAGCAACAAGTGCTCTTTACCTGATCTGAACCATCTCTACAGCCCCTGCCTGGTTAACGTGTGTGTGTGTGTGTGTGTGTGTGTGTGTGTGTGTGTGTGTGTGTGTGTGTGTGTGTTGAGACAGTTGCACTATATAGCGCTATATCCCTTGGCTGCCTAGAACTCTGTAGACCAGGCAGGCCTCAAATTCATAGTTACACCTGCCTCTGTTAGGTTTAATTTTTTTTTCTAAGTTAAATTAATTGGGTCTGGTGGCACACACCTGTAATTCCAGCACTTGTCAGTTGGGCCGGAGGAATGCTGTTGGTTTAAGACTAGTGTGAGCTATATGGCATGTTAATGGCATGTTAGTTAAGCCAAGGCAACATAGTGAGACTGTCTGTAAAAGTGTGTGTTGTATGTGTGTGGTTCATGCAGGTGAGTACCTGGGTGCATATGCCTGTTGGAGAGGAGAATGTCAGGGTCTTCTGTATCGCTTTCTGCTTTCTTGAGACAGGTCTCTTAGTGAGTGGAAGCTTGCCATTTTGGTTAGGCTGGTCAGCTGGCCAGTGGGTTCTTAAGATCCAACGCTGGGGTTACAGATATGCTCAGCCATGCTGGGCTTTTTATTTGGGTACTGAAAATTTGAATTCTGCTCCTTATGCTTACACAGTGGTTTTTTTGCCTACTAGACCATCTTCTCAGTTCCTCAAATTTTTTATAAAAAAACCTTTTCTTAACCACTTGAACTAAGTCAAGTCAGAGTGGTGTAGCTTGGTTTCACACTCATTATTATTTGTTACCTTCTGTTTCTCTTTTCCACTCTTCTAACACACAGACAGAGACAGATGTACTCAAGTGAGATGTAGGTGGAGGGTAGGCAGTGTATCACCATTGCCCATTCTGGCCCAGGTTCTTAGATTTAAGTGATCCTTCTGCTCTAAATCTCCCAAGAAGCTAGGATTAGGGATGTGTGCCACTGCGCCCAGCAAAAGACATTTTAAAATTCATCTCTTTCCCCAATTGTTTCTTTGGAGGAAAGTGATTGATAGTTCTGTGTCTGTGCCAAAACTGTTAAAGGGCTCTTTGATAGGAAGATTGACCAGATGCTAGTTTCTGCCTCTGGCAATTAGATCATCAGTTTGGATCATTTATACTCATAGTCTCTCTCTCTCTCTCTCTCTCTCTCTCTCTCTCTCTCTCTCTCTCTCTCTCTCTCTCTCTATCTCTCTCTATCTCTATCTGTGTGTGTGTGTGTGTGTGTGTGTGTGTGTGTGTTTGAGACAGGAACTCTAGCCCTGGTTATCCTGGAACTTGCTTTGTAGACTGAGATGGTCTGGGTTTAACAGATCAGCTTGCCTCAACCTCTCAGGTGCAAGGATTAAATAAGCTATGCCTGGCTTCTGCAGTTTTTTTTTTTTTAAATATTAAGTGTAGCACACTGCATTATGGTTGACTTTTTGGCCCTTATCACTTAAACAAAAATAACAAATTGGAGAAAAATGTTTTAGTTTATGCTTTCCTTCCCTTTTGAATGCCTGCCAAATAGTCTTCTAATTCTTTCTTTACTAAAAGATTGAAATTGAAACTTGCCTTCTAGAGATGACAGAATACTAGATTAAAAAATGAGTGTCATTTTTGGCTATGCCAGTAGATAATGGCATTGAATAAAATCTCCAGGTGT